ATACCCAGTTTATCAACCAACCAAGATAAAAGTATTATCTACAGTGTGGATAAAGTAAGAGAGAAAGAGAGAGAGAAAATTACCTTCATATGTATAGCAAAGCACAAAAGCATCTAAATTTCCCAAAATTACACATGCCTTATCCACTGCTTCATCAAAACTTGCCTCCCTTTCCTCTTCCATATCCATTTCAACTGCCTCCACTGGAAAAGCACCTTTGATTGCACCTGTTATCTTCTCGCCGATACTCCTTAAAACCTTCTCATTTCCCATCGAAACCAATCTGATCATACATCGCCAAATAACATATTATTCAATAAAACAATATGGTTGACTAAAATAAAGAACACAAACATCTTAAACATTAACTTTCAGTATTTTCCTAAGAATAAAAAGTCCTTCCTCTGCTTTTGTAAGCATAATAAAAAAATCAACTGTCAATTGTAGCCCGCAAAAATTCCATTTTTGTTGAAAGAACAAATGAAAAGATTTCTTGAAAGGAACTATTAGTACTTTGGATTTCATGAAGGAAAAAGAATAATAAACGTAAGAAAGTAAAATTCAAAGATTGAAACCATCATTTGGTAACATTCCCTTTGGTTTCCAAACTATTAAACATGAAAGAAAGAACGAAACATATTCTTAACCTGCATCCTTGTTTAACCAAATGAAAGGCATTATTCTGTGAAATCTCATCTCCGTTTGAAGTAAGCAACACTTTATTTGCCCCACTTCCCATTCTCCAATCCAAACTTGAATTTCAAAAGAAATCATGTCAATTAAAACAACAACAAAATAAGTAATCATCCAAAATACACATAATTCACGTTAAAAAGAAAGAAAAGAATTCTCTACCACAGAGATGATGGTACCTGACACAACTAATTGAATGAAGTGAAAGACAAAAGAGAGATGTCTCGTAAAATGAATGAATGCTAGAGCTGTGTCTGTCCGTCACGAGTGGAGCTGCCTTCTTTTTATTTCGGTTCTGTGCTGTGTGTCTCAGCAAAATTCGGCTATTCTTCATTTTTATTAGATTTATAAAAGACAGAAACCATCCTTCTCACCATCTTGAGATAAATAAGGGGTGTTTTCATTTTTATTTTTATTTTTCTGATTCTAATACAATTTTCGTACTAGTTTATATATTTTTTTTATTAATTATATAAATTTTAAAATTAATAATTATATAAATTTTAACTACCTTGAAAAAAAAAAAAACCAAACTCATAATTATTAAAAACCAAACCCGAAACTTCATTATTAAAAACCAAACCCGAAACCAGATAGTTAAGCTAATTCTCAATGTTTAAATAATGGGTGTCTTATTTGCACGTGCAGTGGATGATCATGTCACGTGATTTGGCACCGCCTCAACAACCACTAGCGCGGCGATATTGCCGAGTGGAGGGACCTCGTTAATTTATTTTAATAATGCTGGGAAATCCTAGTGAATTACTTGATGAATAAAGCACAAACCTTTAAAAAGTCGTCCTTTATTGAGTTCCCAAAAAGAGATTATCTCCTTTGAGGTTTTTTATCTATACTCTTCACAAGTTTTTGAAATTTCATTTTTTCTTCTAAATGATGCCGTTTTTACTTTTATGAAAAAGTAGTCTTCAACTCGGAATATGTCTGTGTTTGATTTTCTTCTCGCAAAGAAAATAAAACAAAGAAATGTGTCGGTGTTAGATTTTTTTTTCTCGAGAAAAAGACGGGGGACTCCATTGAAGATTAACCAAACCTTTAGAGACCTAATTGAGACTAAATATTATGGGGGACTCCATGGAAGATTAACCAAAACATTAGAGACCTAATTGAGACTAAATATTATTTGAGAACTTAATTTAGATTAAAACTTTTCATAATGTTTTTAGTTTGAAAATATATTGAAATATTTTTTATTTTAAATCATCTAAAATTATAAAACAATAATTTTAAATATTATTTGAGAACTTAATTTTGTATTTTTTATGTGTTATGTATTGCATACTATTGTATTGTACAAAAAATAAAAGCCATGTCATTCTATTTATAGAGAAACATGATAACTCTATAAATGACAAAATCATTGATTTTTTTAATAAGATTTAAAACTTTTTTCAAATCTCATTCCACCTTGCGCAAGTGATTAGTATTTAAAAATGTATTTTTATCAAGGTTTTATATCATCATTTTGTACACGAAGTATCAATAACTCCTTAATTAAAGCATGTTTTATAATAACGTATCTAATAATATAAGATACCTTTAATTTGTGGTAAATGTTCATTTTAAATGCAGGCCTATCACATAAATGAAAGGATTGATTGATGAATTTAAGAACTGAAATTAAAAGGACAAAAAGATGGTCAAACTTAGAAAAGAGATGTCAGTGCAATCCAAACCCGGAACACTGTTCGGTAATTGGGTCATATATGGAGCTGTAGATCTCAGATTTAAGTCTACTTTATATGGATGGAAAGGTAAGATATAGGCCTACAACTTTCATATGGAGCCCAAGATCTAAAAAGGTCATTTTCAAGTCCAAATTATAGCAACAACAAAGAAGTCCGAATCTGTCTTCCAGCCCGAGCACTGTTCGGTATTTGGCTCATATCTAGCATTCTAAAAGTCCAAATGACCTGAAGTTTTTACACAAGAAAGCTGAGACAATTTCCTACAACTTTCATGTTTCAGGTGGCTCTAATTTTGATGTTATCAATGACGTTTTGGGCAGACAAGAGAAGATAAGGATTGTCACCAAGTCAAAAGTTGGCCACCTACTCATCAATTAGTCATCAAATCAATAGTTCCCAATTTTGGCCTATAAAAGGAGGCATTTGCCATACATTTAGGCATCTTGGTTTCCAGATCAAGATTATGCTCTTGCTTTCTCTCTTTGTATTTTTTGTAATGTTTATGCTTTGCTTTCATTAATAACAAGTTTATGCCTTTCATTTCCTTTCATTTACTTAGTTAACTTTTATCTTATTTATGTTCTTGTTTTGTTTATTTATTTTTCTTTCTTTCATTATGTTTAGCTAAGTTTATTATGTCAAGGTAAAAAGGTTACACTAATGGTGTAAGAATAAGTATAGTGTAAACTTAATATGGACTTTAATGTTTGATACTAACATGTTTTGTATTTGTTATCTTGTTCGCTCTTTAATACTTTGCTTGTTAAATGACTAATCTTGATTTATGTTGTATAACACTTGGTACAACACTTGGTACAACAAATGCTTGACACTTTCATAGCCCATACTGTATGGTATAACCGATACCTAAGCTATGAAAGGAACTTGATTTGTTGTTAACATAAGTTATAATCATGAATGCTTGACGAGATTTACAAGTATTAGCATTAATCAAATAAGATGACTAATGTAATCATGTTAACAATCTATAATCTGATTGGAACCTTCTTTGTGTGTGGTTTCCAATTGAATAATAAGAGTTTATACTATACTTGTTTGACATACCATTAATGAATCCTCTAACCTTGACATTTATTGTTATCATTGTTTAATTCTTACGTTAATCTTCCATCTCAAAGTTCTCATCAACTTCTTCTTCCTCCTCCTCTTTATTATTATTATTATTATTATTATTATTATTGCTACTATTGTTGTTGTTGTTGTTGTTGTTACTATTATTGTTGTTTATAATTTGTACAATTAACCTCTCTGTGGTTCGACCCCGGTCTTGCCGGGTTATTTATTACTTCGACACTCCTGCACTTGGGAGAAGACATCAATCTTTTAGTCGTGTCAGCAAGGATTTACAATCAATAATATTTGAGAACATATCAAATATTTTCTCTAATTCACATAAAGTGATGAATCCTCTTTTGATTATTTAAATACCTTTATGTAATTCATGTTATACTCAATATCTACTCGTTTGTTACTCTTAATTACGACAACGTATAGCATGATCAAAATATAACATTCTCTATATAAAATAATTTAGTGATCTCAAGTCTAAGGATCACTTACATAACAATCACGTAACATTTCTATATACACATATAATCTCTATATATGAAATTCTCATGTAAGTCAATTTAATATACATGTCATCTCACAAATATCTACATGTTAGTTTTAGGTATTCTTTAAACCTCAACTTGAAAATTGTTTTTTTTTTCTAAAGGAAAGAACATAATATGTATCAAGTTCAACAACTCTAATCAATATTCTTTCTTAATAGAGCATTGACCAATAATATTTAGAAATAATACTTTGATGCAATCGAAATCTCATAATTATAATAATTTTATAATTTTTTTTGTAAAACATTTTTGTTTCAATAATTTTATCTTTACTTTAAATTCATTAATAAAAAATTTGATAATTATTAAAGATAAATAATTTTTTATTAATAAATTAAATATATTTATATAAACAAAATCAATGTCACATGTAACCAATTGATTGACTACATGACATATAAACCAACAAAAAATAAATACATAAAACAATTAACTTAAAACACAATAAACATATAAACAACAAAGCTTGGTCCACAGAAAACTCCTTAAAGAAATCATCATTATCCTTGATAAAAATACACAAATTATTTTTTTGGTATTTTTTAAATTTAGACTAAGTCTTCGTGTGCTTAATAAATTTGTTATTGAGTCTCTTATGCATGCAAAATATAAAAATTATTTTTTTTTTAATTTTTTGGTACTTTCAAGAAATGATCAATCATGCAATTTTTTTGGTTTTTTGTCTTTTTCTTTTTATATTTTTTATTAAAAATGCAAATATGATTTTTTTTAGAAACTTTATCATATGCAATTTAAAACACAAATGGATTTCTTTAAAGAAGGATTTTTTTTGTTTTTCAATTAAAAAAATTATTTTATTTAATATTGCAAAAGCATCTCAAATACAAATTTACAATCCCAGATATTAAATGTAAAGGGTAAAACAATTTAAAAAACTCAAAATTAATTGCAAAAAAATGCCTTGGAAAATCTAAATTTTTACTAAGGTTGCATTTAGCAAAACATCCATAAAAAAACATAAATACAAGGTTGAAACAAAAATATTAGTGTGTGTTTGACATGTATATCCTTAGTTAAAAATAAACACTCAGGCTTGGAATTTGCTTAAAAAGGTTCTAGGGTTTGTGAGTTGATAAAATCTCCTCAACCCTTAATGTCTTAAAAGAAAGAATGACAATTGATTATAGTTAAGAAAAAAATATTATTTTATTTTTTAGTTGTCAAAATAGTTACTTACACTATCTACAATTTTTGGTTATTGTGGTGTGAGTTTGTTGTGATTATTTTTAGAATCTTAAATGCATAGGAAGAAGATTTAATTGGTTGGAATTGGGTCGGAACATCTTGGTCAATAATTTGGACACCTACTATCTTGATTAGTTAAAGGATAAAGGTGTAGAGGAGTCAAAAAAAGCACAACTCATACATGTTCTTTATAAATTATAAATAAAATTGGTTATAATAGTATTTTTAAGGTCTTTGGAGATTAAATAATTGATTCTTGATGGTTAGGTCTTGTTGAGAGAAACCATTACTTTATTTTAGGAGAATTTTAAGGTATTTTGGTGAGAGAATGAAGGATAAAATTAAGTTGAAACATGACAACTCAAATAGTATTTTCAGGTTAAAATTCAGAAGAAAACGAATAGTAGTTGAACAACATCTCATTTATAGTTTCTTTCATTTATAGTTTCTTTTTTAAAAATAAATGACTTTTCATTTGCAATACCTTTTTCAATTTAATCCCACTCTTTTAAGTTTTTTTAATTAATCCCTTAATTAAACTAATTTTTAGGAATTTTTTTAATTTCACCTTTAGAACGATTAGATCCTTGAGTTTAATGCCTTTTTAATATGG